ACGGGCCCAGCGGGCCGCTCGCCCCACCAGCGGCGCGCATTCCCTACCAGCCGCTCGCCTTCTATTTGGGTCGTTAGCCTCCTCTCGCCTGCCCGCTGCAGGTTAACCTGCTTACGCCGCGTTATAGATTTCCAATTCTTCGCTCGATCATTTTTGGCCGAACACGAGCCGAGCGCGTGGCTTCGGGGAACGGCTCGAGAGGAAAGCGATTGGATTTCGGGGAATGGGGGTCGCTGGACCACCCTGCGCACTGTGAGTCTAATGGCCGTCTATTTTTGGGCATGCTCGCCGTGGGAATCGATTTGGAAGGTGTTTTTCGTTCGAGTGATGCTGCTGGAATAGAAATTTAGTACTTCGGTCGTTAGTGAAGCGGAAGCTTTTCACTGGAATATCTTCTAATGAGATGCTGATGTTTGATGAGATTCTGTTGAGAAACGTGCATTGAAAACTTTCTTTCAATGTTTTGTATGTTATATGAAGTTTAAAACTTTGCACTCGAGAGGTGATTTTCAGTCGCCACTTGATATACAGTGAAACTACAAAATTTGATATTTAACCCTTTGCACTCGAGCGACTCTCAGTCGCCATTTGATTGAAAGCAACAAAATTGTAAACTGAAAAATTCAATATAAAATGTCGAATCAGGTATTAACAAATGAAACATAGAAATAAAACAACTCTGCGCCATAATTTATGCAATACGTTTCTTCTCGTAAGTTGCAAATGATATTGTTAATATTTCGTCAGAAAATAATGAATGCTTGTAATGAAAAATATTGTCAAGTGCAAAGGGTTAATATTATACTTTGTATAATACATCGATTTCAGAAATATTGAAATAAAGTAACATTGTTCCTCGATGCACGTGTGATTTTCCTTCGAGTTTCACAAAATATCTTCATTGTCTTATCACGAAATGTTAAAATATTTCTAGTGAAAAACTTCCGAGTGCAAAGGGTTAATATTGTATATGAAACTTTAGTTTGCTGAGTCAAATCATTTGACGACTCTGAGGCGTCTTTAGAGTGCAAAGAGTTAATTCCCAGTGTAAATTCCACGTGATTCTAACACCAACGTTGGATACACCGGAATAAATATATTAAATGAAGCAACCACGTTCTAAGGAAAATACCGTGACGTCTTTATTCGACACAGGAGAGACAATAAATAAGATGAGGGGATGAGGGGATGAAGTACGAGGTTGAGTCTACAGAGGCATGTCTTGGTAAGGGTACTGGTCCGGGTTGAACTCGGGCGCCCAGCCCCTGTACGGTTGGTTCACTTCCTCCTGAGACCTGTGCCAGTGCTCGTGGTGCACTTCCGGTTTCACGATTCCGTACGTGACCCTGGGAGGATAGGACGGTGGCGGCGTGAGCAACGCCTTCAAGGCCACCGCGCCGGAGAGGAGCAGCGACATCAGACCAGCTCCGAGTCCCTTGATGCCTATCAGCCCTATCAGACCGATAACAATCGGCAGAACAATGATGGCCTTCAGTTTCAGCAGCAACAACAGCGGCAGCACGATCCTCTTCAACTTCGTTCGGGCTGGAACGAAAGGGAAACTTTCAAACTCAGTCTAGAATATTTTTAACCCTTTCTGAAGTGCTCTTTTCTCACTTTGAGGTTCACGTCGACGTTAGTTCATTCGATTACAGCTTAACCCTTTGCACTCGAGAGGCGCCTTTCAGTCGCCATTTGATCTGACCCATGATAAAATTTAGAATTCAATATTAAATTTGTATATAATGCGTCAACACATGGAACATCGAAATAAAATGGTTCTGTTACTTAATTTATGCAAGGTATTTCTTTATGTTAGTTTTAAAACGTATCATTGATATTTCATCAGAAAATGAACATTTGTCGAGAAAAATATTCTCGAGTGCAAAGGGTTAATATGACGCATCTATTTATTCGAGAATATTTCGGAGTCGTTGAAATGTTACCCTTAAATTGTACAATCATGATACTACGAATAAATATAGAAAAAATTGTTAAAACAGGTAGAGGTTGGAATAAAATAGAATATCGACATAGGACTGCTGAGGGTTAAACTCGATTCACAAACGGTTCGCGATAAATCTGATACAATTATCATACTGTTCAAAGTAACATGGACATTGAACAGAGTACGAACTACCCAACGATTAACCCTTTGCTCGACAATATTTTCCATTACAAGCATTCATTATTTCCTAACGAAATATTAACATCATTTGCAATTTACAAGAAGAAACATATTGCATAAATTTTGGGCAGAGTTGTTTTATTTCTGTTTCATTTGTTAATACCTGATTCGACATTTTATATTGAACTTTTCAGTTTACAATTCTGTTGCGTTCAATCAAACGGCGACTGAGATAATGATCCAAGATAAATATTCCGTACCATCGACGTACACGTCGATCGTGAATAATTTCAATTTCAAGAACCCCATAACTCCTGGCACAATAACAAGCGTGAAATCAAACGGACAAGCTGCAGACCGCAAATCCTCCGGAGCTTCGCTGTCCGTCGATACCCGCTACACCCGCGCGTATCGAAGTGTTCAATGGATCAAGTGAAAATCGTCACGGCGATTGGTTTCGGCTGCTGGAAGGAGTTTCTAGGAGGTTCTAATGGCCGCTCGTCCGCGAGTCTACTTTCTTCGACATGTGGCACTCTCGTTCAAGGTCCTTGTTCGCCGGTTCTCTCGCCGCGCGTCCCAGAAACCCGGAATCCCGCCGGTCGTTCCACTTTGCCCCCC